GGAATGCCCAGTGCATGGGCAGAGTAAGAAGGCCATGGTGTTCAGGGAGCACCACACATGCAGAGCGCTGTGGTGCCATCTGCATAGTGGGCTGCATCCTTCTGTAACTAATGAGCTGTAGGAGGATGTCCTCTGTGGGAGAGCATCCTGATTGCTGCCATTCTGGGCTTTGGTAGAGCCTTGCTGATGAAGGGTTGGTGCCTAATGCTCAACACAGCAGTGCTTATGTTTTTGACTTCAAGCAGATGTCATGTCTGTCCTGCTTCGCAATGATTTCCTGCTTACCACCTCTGACAGACACCTCTGACCTTCCTGCTTTTACCCATCCTGACAGAAAGGTTCACAATTTAGGAACATCTGTGGCCCCAAATCCTTCCATAATAACAAATTGAACAGTTATTTAAATGTTTGCAGTGATTTCCTTCTGCTGCAGACATTGTCAGAGTGACCCAGGACTTTGCGATGCCCCAAGTGGATGAATGCAAAGTGCTGCTTTACTTGGTGGTGTCCTGATCTGCACTGGGAAGTTGTTGATGGTACGTTAGGAAAAGGGGGTATTGTGAAGTGTCGGCCATGGGAAGCGTGTTCTGCAGGGGCTTCCTCACTGTATTTGCAGCCTCTTGTATTGATCTGTGAAACTTAAAATACAAATTATTATGCCTGGGCCAAAATATTATGAGTTTTGGAATTGCATTTTAGTGGCCATCCGCCTTCTTATCTTCTGGGTACAGTATATCATGTTATGAAGACTTTTGCCTGAGGCATAAGATAGAATGATGTTATGCTTAAGTTTTAGAGGCTTAAGTTCTAAGTTCTTAAGTTCTGACTTTCGTCCATTAATAAAAACAGGAAAAATAAGACTTGTCCAATAGCCTTCATGTGAAAAAGATCTGAGAGTGGGGAAAAAATTGTTTGCTCTGTGGTCTTCACATAGCCGTCTGGAGGCTCAGCTTTTTGGACTGTCTTGTGTCTGTGCAGGGACATGATAAAACATAGATAGCAGAGTTACTACCACAGCACTTGGGATCAAATTGCTTTTGGCAAGTTCCATGTATGAAAAGGTGCCATAGAGTAGAAGCTATTTCATGGGGTAAAGAAAGGATGATAATGTGTGTGTGGAAAACTGAAATCTGGGGATATATCTAAATGTCTATATTTCTCCTTCTCCTTTCAGAGATATAAAGACATTAAATATCTTTCTAACCAAGGCAAACCTGATTAAATTAGGAGACTATGGGTTGGCAAAGAAGCTGAACTCTGAGTACTCTATGGCTGAAACTGTGAGTATCTGCCTTGTGTGCAGAACATTTTTCTTTTACCTCTACATAAGACCAGAAATGCTATAGTTTGTTGTTGTTGTTGCTTGTTTTCTGTATTCTTTCTATGCCTCTCCATCACCTAGACTACCTCAATAGTGTGAACATATTTATCAATGTTTTGCAGCCTACAATTATCCTGGCTCCTGGTTTACCTTTTGAAGATCTGTCTCTCTGCAAAGCGGCAGTAGATGAATGAGAAATGACATTACGGGCATGTAACTGTACCAGAGTTGGTATAGCTGGGCTAGGGAGCCCTGTTCTTCTTTTCCTAGCACCTTGTGACACTTCCACAGGTGAACCTATGTAACATAAAGGCCAACGCCTCTGTCTCTTTGGACAGTATCAGTTTATAGTCATGTCACATAGCTTTTCCTTTGGGGTAGTTAAGTCCAGCTAAATAAGCCAAATTAGTATGAGCATGCTGCTCTTACAGGGATATTTTTCCTTTGCTGAGTCTGACTTGGCTTGCCTGTGTTGGTAGTTAAGTCCAGCTTAATAAGCCAAATTAGTATGAACATGCTGCTCTTCTTACAGGGATATTTTTCCTCTGCTGAGTCTGACTTGGCTTGCCTGTGTATACCTCACACTGTGTTGGGCCGTAGATATGTGTCCTTTAACTTTGAACATGCCCTTTAACTTTGATATTCAGGCTCTGAACTGAATTTCAAAGAAGCAAGAAAGGCACTCACTTTTCTTTTGGTAACAGTGTGGTTTGTTGGTAATGATCTTGAACGGGGGGCAAAGCTTTGCAGAAGAGATTAATTCTACCAGAAGGTTGTTAGGATTGGCTTTGTTCCAGATCCTTCCAGAAAGCAGTTTCACACAGAGAGTTATGATGCAGGGCACTGTAGCCACCTGAATGCCTTGGCCTGTGTTTCCCAGCTCTTTGAATTCTGTCGCGAGCAGTAGGCTTGGGAAGGGAGACATTTTCTGGAACTCTGATTTGTCAGAGGCTTTTATAGTTCGGATGGCAGCCAGCTTGCCCTTCCCTTTACCAGGGGTTATTGTTGGATTTGATTCAAACTATTGGTGTCCTCATAGGATGCATAATTAAACGCACGTCAGCCTCTTTCCAGAACATGGGTGTTATTGTGCAGTTCCGTAATAAGTGGGAAGTCAAGGATATTGTATATAGTCCTTGCTAAATATGGGTCTAGCAAAATCATTTCTGGAAGGTCATGTTCTTCATGGGCTTCTGACTTGCAGAGAAAGCACTGTCTGTGCGATGAATACTCAGGTTTGCTTTTGTTCCTGTTGTCTGGCTTCATTTACACATGCAAGTTTACTTTTCTTTCCCTCTTCACCGATGAAAAATCTTGAACTAAGTATTTTCAGTTAAATTTAATGCTATGTTCAAGCCTATTTGCTCAATTTGTGATCTAATGACCAATGGCAATCGGAAAGACATCACTGTGGAATATGTCCATAACATGCCATTATCTGTATTTTTTCATTATAGAGATTGTAATTATATCAGTCAAATTATGATTTTGTAAAATGTCAACTTCTTGCTTAGTAATGCTGAGTTTACCAACCTTTCTCCCAGTCAAGGATGATGATATAGAAAATATGTCTGTGTCTGTCTTCTAGAAAGTTTACATTGTTCTTTGCTTAAAAAAAAAAGATGTGAGAGCATTGCCCTAGTTCCCCCTATGATTCTGCAGCTAGGTGAGGTTTTAAACCTCCCTATGATGAGGACTCGCATTGCTCTGGCTGTCAGGCTGTGGAAAGGGAAAGGGAAGGATAGTTCTGAATGTGGTATCTGCTGTGCTGGCGGAGCTGATGAGAGGCCAGCTCTGTACTCCTTGGAGCGTTGCTGAGGGAGTCGAAAAGAGGGCAGCTATAAATATTTCCCTGTCTCCTAAATTCTATCCTTTTCATTTTATTTCACTGTCTGGTTCCTTGCTAGGAAGCTGGCGCCATTCATCCGGAAGCTTAACGTTTGCACCTTTTGTCGTGTTTCTCCTTGTTGTGACTTTGAGCTATGCCGCTATTTCTGTTGGAGCTGAGAGGGTTCCCATATTTAAATGGTGGGGCTTAGGATTTTGTGCTGGACGGGTAGGTTATTTTTTGTTTTAAATGATTCTTCAAGAAGCTTTGCTTCTGCAGTGAAAGTCTCTAAGGTGGGACTCATGCCAGCTTTCTACTTAGTGACCCAGAAGTAGCCCCTCTTGATTCAGACACAGAGTGGCCATTGTCCTGGCCGTGCCCTGTGATCAGACAGAGCGGATCCACAGCCGCAGCTGGCGGCTGCCTTTGGAAGCTTTGCTAGATCCTCTCCAAAGGGTTCCCAGATGTCTGGGGACCTGACCCCCTGATTAATTCTGAATGTAAGATATTTGAAAGAGGGACAAACCCCCACTGCATTCTGCTGACTACTGCTCTATGTAACACATCAGAATCTGAGCAAGGTGGTATTGGGGATCTTTTAAGAAATGCAGGCACAGTTTGTGGGTAGGAAGGCAAGAAATGTGCTTGTTCCCTCCCTTTAGCATGCGATGATGGTATGTTAAGGTCTGCGTGTCTTGACTGCTGGATTGCAGCTGCATCCAGCTCTAATGGGCCTCTGTGAACATGATTGATGCAAAGCCCCAGAACTGAAGGCTGCTGGATTATTTCTGATTGTTGAATGTTCTTTTTCTTTTTTTCCTAGCTTGTGGGAACACCATACTACATGTCCCCAGAACTCTGCCAGGGGGTGAAATACAACTTCAAATCAGATATTTGGGCTGTGGGCTGTGTCATCTTTGAACTTCTCACTCTGAAGAGGACCTTTGATGCTACAGTAAGCTTGCAGACCAACATGGACTGAGTACCCTGGTTTTCATCATCCCCAAATCTACACTTATCTCACAGATTTTCTTAGTTACTGATTTTTCTTTCACTTTGATAAGTTTATTAATTCGAAAGCCAACTGCAGCCAGAGAAAATGCATGCAAGATTTCCCCTGCCCTGCACTGCCAGTATCTCTCCAACATCTGACAAACACACCTTATTTGCAGCACTGGGTTTATGAGATACAAAAATGCAAACTGTGCTAATCTGTATCACTGTTGGGAGTGTAACATCATTTTGTCCAGAAGAAGGAAGTTTGTGATCAGGCAGTCTTGGTCCAACATTGGTAGTTACAAGTTTTATGTGCAGCATTCTGTACGGAAAATTTCCGGCCTTGGGTTTCATAAGATTTAAGATTTCTTGTCATCAGGGCTGCCAAGTTCTCAGTAATTGTGCTGCTGTGCTGTGTTTCAATGGCAATATGCAGCAGAGGAACTTCTGTGGAGAGAGGAGCCTACTCTGCTTCCCTGGCTAAGGAATTTGGCAAAAGGTGAACGTTGCCACCAAGTCCCCACTCTCAGAAGTACCACATCTACAGAAAAAAACTACAGGTTTCTGGAGAACCTCCTAGGCAGGAAAGAAGGATATGCCTTTCTCTGATCGTAGGAGGAGGGAGTAAATGCTGATGGCCTCTAGCATCTCTCCCTGTTGAATAGGTTGTCCACTTCGGTTCTTTTACAACCGATACCTGTTTTCTGCCTAGAACCCCCTGAACCTTTGTGTGAAGATTGTGCAGGGGAATCGGGCCATGGAGGTTGATTCCACTATCTATTCTCGGGAGCTGATCCAGATGGTCAATTCCTGCCTTGATCAGGTTGGTGAGATACTGTCCAATTTTCAGACACCCGTGCCATGCTGTGCTGTCTGAACCACTCCATCCAGGGCCACTACATCTAGGGCCACTCCATCCAGGACTGGGGGGGCTGCCATGCATGTTTCAGAATGAGGGATTTTGATTCCAGGTAATATCTTGAGGCCTCGTGTATCACTAGGACTGGGCTTCCTCTAGGCCTCTGAAATCATTCGCTCAAGATGCTCTTCAGTCCTGCAGACCTAGGAGGGGTGCTGGGTTTGTTCTCATGATGCTTATTTTGTGGACTGGCCAAAGTGATCATTTTCTCATGCAGTGCTTTGAAAGCAGGAGCATCAGTTCAGTACTGTCTCCTAAGCCTCCAGCTTTCTGGCTATGACTCTGCATTTCTGTAGGGAATTAACTTCTTGGAAACAAGTGCAGTACTGATATCTTTGTAGTGGGGAAGTTCATACTGTTCATTCCTGGCACTTATTGCTCTTTATTCTACATATTTAATTCTTTCCTTTCCCTTGTGAAAGGAGTCAGGGAAAGACGACCATGCACCCTTGCATGAGGTCTTCTGGCCCAAGATTTTATTGTAAACGATGAGCTTTTCCCAGGGAGTGATTTGCTGCTCACCTCTTTCAGGATCCGGAGAGGAGACCTACTGCAGACGAACTGCTTGAACAACCTCTGCTCAGCAAGCGTAGGAGGTAACTGGGTAGTCTTGCTTGGGGCCTGGGGGAGCCAGGTGTGTCAAGGAGAGCAGGAGGAGAACTTGTGCAAACTACTGGTGCTGATGCTTTCGAAACCAAGTCCTTAGACTAATTTGTACCTGACGTGAGGTGGTTTTTGAAGTAGATTTTCTCTACTTTAGGAGAAAATGCTTTTTTGCTGTCTTGTCTCTGGTCGGTCCCTATCTTTGTTGGCACATGGGTTGGGTGAGAAGGGCCTCTGCACCCGTTGCCTAGGCAGCTGTTGCACTAGGAATGCTGCTGCATCCTGTTCTGAGGCACCTTGGAAGAATGCTGGTTTTCATTCTTCAGTTTAAATCTCTGTGAATGAAGACTTGCTCTTATATCTTTGTATGACCTTTGAAAAAGTTTTTTATAGTACGCAGCTCCTGCAGTGAGGCTGGACCTGCACTTTCTCCCTTTTTACATCCCTTTTTCTGAGGAAGTGTATTGAATGTGGTCAGTTCTAATGCATATGGATCTTCGCCTCTGTGCAATGTCTTTCTGTGAAAGATGGACCAGGATTTTAGACTGCTTGGATCCTTCGTTGGCTGCTTTCAGAACAAAGTAGACTTAATTCCTTCTGCAAATATTATTTTGTTTGGTGTGCAGCAAAGTTGCTGAGTATTGTCTTGCTCATGTTGAAACCCAAATCCTGATAATGTTTAGCACTTTAAGTTATTCTCATACAGTGTGATTATTTGTTGGCTAAATTCTTGTCTGTACGTGGTTGTCACTAGCTCTCCTGGAAATTTGCTAGCTCTGTGGTGCATTACTTCTGCCCTACTTAATGTGTATTGGTGTGAGCTGGTAAACAGCTGCCACATTTCTTCCAAGAGGGAGCAGCATTTTTTTTGAAAGGGAAAGCAATGTGTGTGTGTGTGTTGCTTGTCAGTAAATTGTTTGGGAGATAGGTTGCTGTTTCCTAAAATGCTTTTTCTCTTTTGGTAGGGAAATGGAAGAGAAAGTCACACTGCTTAATGGGCCAAACAAGCGACCAAGGTAATTATCTGAGCATGTGTTTGAAAGGAAGTCTAAAAAGAACAGCTTCCCAGAGAGGAATTTTAATGAAAGTGTTGGACTGTGACAACCTTAATGGAATAGTGTAGTTTAGAAGGGCAATAAGTGCTAGGAATTTTCGTTATATGGTTGTTGTTATTCCAAGTTTTGTTCTCCCTTTTGTATTCTGCCTGTACATATGGCTAGAATCTTACCTCAGGTCCTTCTTCCTGAGGATGTGCTTGTCACATCCCTTCCTTCAG